TAGAAGAAAAAAAGACTGTGATAATCATTGCAGTCTTTTCTGAGAATGACTGGCTGTACTTCTCCACCAGATAAGCCTGAGGTTCAGATTGTTTTTTAACATTTTTTTCCTTTTGTTTTAAAGAGAACACAAAAATAATTGAAAAGATACAGAATTTCACTAAACAAGATGATAGAATTTCAACGATGGTTGCTGTATTGCTTCTTGTTGTCTTCAAATTAGTTATTCAGATTACCAGCTATAAGCTTGCAAAACTGGTCAAAAAACTAAAAATAAAAAGAAGGAAAACATTTAGGCATTAACTGCTCCTTTCAATAAACTAGTACAAATCAGCCGCATAAATATCCAAACTGTTCTCTGTATACACATGTGTATTTTTCCGTTCCTTTTCTATTTCTTTTCTCCTTTCCCTCATCCCATTTGTTCCTTCTCTTTAAGCACTTTCTTTCCCTTTCACCTTCTTTATTGTACCTTTCAGATTTTCTTTATTCTTTCAGCTTCTTTGGGGGATTCAGATTTATACAGCCTGTTTATGTGGAAACCTGAAGCTAAAAACTACAGTGGCAGGACAGTGGTAGAAAGTCCCGGCACATGGAAGAAGCAAAATAAATTTCTTTTAGGGGGAAATATTTTTAATTTAGGCTTCTCAGAATTCCACATATAAATTCAGGCAGATCTGAGCTTATTCAGAAATTATCCAATGCATGAGAAAATAAAGCTCTTGACTGGCAAAAGGGGAACAAGTAAAAGTTTTTGAACCAGTTCTCTCCCAGAGAATAAAAATCATAAAATACAGGATATAAGGCATGTGTTAAAGAGAAAAATAGGTTTTTAATACCTAAGGAAGTTGTTTACTAATTTAAATAAGATTTATTACAATTTTCACCCAAAACATTCATAGTCCATTTTAGTCCATCTCAAAGTCAAGATGTACTTTTTTTGAGGTGGCAGTGGGGTAAAGGGAGACAAGTAGTGAAGCTGGGTAAAAATTATGTGGGTTTTTTTCTTGTTGCTAAACAAATCCAAGAAAAGAAAGTATTTTGGAAATGATTAGAGAGGCTTTCCTTGAAGTTTTCTGAAGGAATGCAGTAATCTTTGGTTGTATTTGAAGGTCTGAACTACTTTTTAAATATATTTCTGTAGTTTTATCTAAAATTGCTAACTTACTGCAAAAGTTCACCCTAGAATCCTTGGTCTTTACTGATTTTTTCACCCATTCCTTACTGACTGCCACCTTAGAGAACTGCCATTAGTAACCCTTTAGAGATCAGCTAGTCATGGTGTGTGAATCCACACTCACAGGGGCCTTTCAGTTGTAATCGCAGATCATCCACTGCTAACTTGTTGTATGTCCAGGAACATATTCATCTTTCATCTTATTTATGCCTTTTTCTCCAAAGTGGTAATATATGTGACTAGGTTGTTGATGTTAGCTGTTTATTTGGAACTAATGAAAAGCTTTGGAATTTGAGGAGTTTGGGCTTTTTAAACTTTTCTACAGGTGATTGTTTAATTGCTTTCTTGAATTTTTTGAGGTAAGCTCTGAAGAAGATTCTGGTTGTAGATATCTATTGTTTGCACTTTTAGTGGTATTTTGTGCTATATTATGCAAATGACTGAAATCAGTAATATCGAAAAGTGAATTCCATTTCCTTTTTTAAAAATTTTTATGCATTGGTACAGGGTCTCACTTTTCAGCTCAGACTCCTAAAGATCCTCCTGTTTTCAGCCTTCCCAGCGCTGGGATTACAGGAATGTCCCACCACACCTGGACTTGATCATGGCAAAGCGCACCCCGGGGGCAGGGCCAGCGCTGCAGGTGGTGCCAGGCATCCCGCAGGGGTCCCTGTGCTTGCCTAAGCAGGAGCTTAGTCCCCTGAGTTATCTCACCAGCTATTTTCATTTCCTTTTAATTCCAATAAAGAATCATGTTTATTTATTGAACAAGGATTTATCTTTCAACATTGAAAGATATCTTTAAGGTTCAGAAGATATCTTTAAGGTTCAGAATTTTATTATTGTTGCTTTTAGTGTACAGCTATAATATAACATGAGTATAATTGAATAGCCCCTATAAGATCACTATAGTTCTTGTTTGTTTGTTTGTTTTCTTGATAGGTGTTTGGGAGGGTGGCTTTTTTGAGGGGTTTGTTTTTCCGAGAGTGGATCTGGCTCTATAGTTCATGTTGGCGTTGAGCTCACTATGTAGTTTAGACTGGCCTCAAACTCATGGTGATCCTCCTGCCTCAGCCTCCTAAGTGCCAGGATTACAGGTGTGTGCTGCCGCATCTGGCTGAAGTTGTTGCTGTTGTGATAAACACTTATTTTAATGTTTTCAAAACCTTTCACTAATACTTTCTATACAATGCTAAATAGTAGTCAGTATGTTTCAAGGGTGACTGTATCCCATTTAATAAACTGCTAGATTAGCAACTCACTTCTAGTGATCATCTTTGTTCCCCGAGAGACTGGGCTTCGATAAATACTTAATATGAATTTTTTAATTATTATGATCATTCCAAATGCCATGTGTTTGAAAAGCTTAATTGATTTCTTTCCCTTTTCTAAAGAAAGATGCCCAGACTGGGGAGATAGCTTCTAAGTGCCTGCCTGGCAAGCACAAGGACCCATGTTTGATCCCTGGAACCACATGCTGTCCCAGCCCTGGAACCGTGGGCATGCCATGCCAGCTACCACAACTGAGCACGGTGGCACACACCAGTAATCCCAGTGCTGGGGGAGCTGAGACAGGAGTATCACTACGAGTCTGAGCTACATAGCAAGACCCTGTACCAAATAAATAAATAATTTTTTTTAAAGGAAAGATCCCCAACCCATTCCTACTTTTAAATGATTAAGGGACCCATAGGATGTAAGGTATTTCTTGGAGAAACTGCTGATTTATAAATGCTCATTAAATAAGACTAGAGGGTCCGGCCGAATAGCTCAATGAATTAAAGCACCTACAAGCAAGCCCAGGGTCTGGGGGTTCTATCCCTGGGCCTGACGTGCTGGCCCTACCTGTGGGATGCACTGAGATGGCAATTGAGACTGGGCATGGTGGCCCGGGGCTGTAATCCCAGCTCTTGGGAGGCTGTTAACAGGCAGAGCACTATGAGTCCAATCTAGTAGTGAGACCTTGAACACCCTGAAGACCCTTCCCTAAAGTACAAAAATAAATAAATAAATAAGACTGGAGATAATGGGAGTGCTTTAATATGCCCCTTTGTATTTTTTTTTTTGTATTGGAAAGAAATATAGTTATGAGACCAGTAAATTAAAATTTTTCCTGGAGCTAAAAGTGTATTTTTCCAGTTAATGGGCTTCATGAAATAAAAAACAAGATAGGCAGAGAGTACAATAAAATATTACAAAGAATAGACCTTAAGAATTTCTTACAATTCTGTCTATCATTTGTTGCAAAATGATTATTGTTAAATGTTTTCAAATTAATTTGAGTTTCTAAAACTATTTCTATTGACCCAATAAAACTACATTAATTTTTTATCAGTTCTATACAGGGCAGTCTTTGTTTTTGTTTTGTTTTTGTTATGTGTTCAGGCTGATCTTGAACTCACTGTGTAGCCCAAGCAGCCCTCAAACTCACAGTGAACTTCCTGCCTCAGCCTCATGAGTGCTGGGATTACAGGCGTGCACCAAACACCCAGTTTAGGGAAGTTTTCCTATATATGTTAAATAGCTGTGAACTGGCTTTATTCATTTTTCATTTTATTTTTATCAAGGGAAAATATAGAGTTTTGAAGTCATATATACCCCAAGAACTATAATGAAAAGTAATTTTCTTGATAGTACATATTTAGAGGAAGATTATCTTTATAAAAATTAAAATCCCATAAGTTAAAAATGTTATATTTATCTGTATTAGATTTTTCAGTATGGTAAAGACTTACTAAGTAGCAGTAAGCAACAGAACAAAAAGGTTTGGAAAAAAATATATTTGTAGTGTAAAGGACAGACTGAGGGCTCACAGCTATGGTATTCAGAGTTATTACAAAGGGACAAGTAAACAAATCCTAAGAGAAAAAGTGGCAGAGAAGATGAAGAAGAAAATCCATATAGCTTACCATCGAAAGAAAAATGTGCATACACTCCCTAGTACAGTCAGGAAAACACAAACAGTGAAGTGAAGTTATATTGTCATCAGCCTAGTAAAAGAAGGAACTTTTTGAAAGGAGCTCAGTGGAATTTTGTAAGATATTGAGGGAGAAGAGTAGATAGCATGATTTTAATTTTTATGAGATAAAGCTGTTTGGAAACCTATGAATCAGGCTGGGAGTTAGCTCAACAGCGTAAGTGCCTGCCTGGCAAGTGCAATGTCCTGAGTTCGATCCCCAGTACAAAAAAAAACCCTATTAATCGATGTGTTTCTACTGTGTGTGTATCAGTATGCATGTGTATATGTGTGTGTATGATTATTCTATGAGCATGCAAGAAAATAATTCAGAAATGATTATTAGTGAGTTATGTGGCATTTCTCAGTAGGTGAGAACAGATAGGCAAGCAATAAAGAAAAAAAAACAGATCATATAAACATGAGGAACAAAGCAATCTTTAAGGATATAGAGATTGTAATATTGTCACATGACTATATTAGGTAGCATGACTTTGATTAGAAGCCAAGATACAGGCTCAGTCCCACCCCTGCTACTATATGCCCACAACCTAAATTAAATGTTGAATCTTAAGTCTTTCTGGGTATGCCTGTTCTTTAAAATAGAGATAATAAAAACAACTTTGCAGCCCAGGGAGATGGCTCAGTGTGGCAAGCGCACGGGCCTGAGTTTAATTCCCAGTTCCACAAAAAAAAAAAAATTTAAAAAAACAACTTTGCAGAACTGCAGTGAAGACCAAATGAGAAAATACATGTGAAAGTTACTGGTATTAGCAGCTGTTCTGTAGTAGAGCTTCAACACATCTCTTATCTCCCTCCTTTCCTTTAGAAAACATATAACTTAAACAGCATAATCATTCACTTCTAGATTATGCATGTCAATCCAAGAAGCTAACCAGTTAAGAGCAGAAAAAACACAACTGGAGAAGCAGACCATAGACCTACAAGCGAAGTGCAGTGGATTAGAAAATGAGAAATATGAGGCTATTTTAAGAGCTCGAGATAGCATGCAACTGCTAGAAGAAGCTCACCTTCAAAAAAATCAGGTAAGAAAAATAATGAATATGTTTATAAGTAATGAAGTGCTGTGCATTTTCCCTGTGACCTAAAAAAGCATCAGCAGCTTCAAAGTAAATGTATGAAAATAAAATTTCCATGCACAATGTCTTCCTATTTCACTGTATCTATTGTACATTTGGTTCTTATTTATACTTGCAGTTTCTCATGTTAGAGAGACAGTATGATACTTACACATATGTCAGATTTACTCACTAGCATGGTCTCACAGTCTATTTATTTAGCTATAAATGTCTCAATTTTCTCCTTGTTTATGGATGAGTAATATTCCATTATATTAAAAAGAAATGCATCTTTTGTATCCACTCATGGGTTTCCAGGATTTAGCTACCGCAAACTGTGCCGCTGTAGACGTGGCTGCTCATGCATCGCTGTAGCATGATGCTTTTAATCCTTCCATGAAGGAGGGGAATAGCTGAGTCGAATGGAACTTCTCGTCCTAGTTTTTGGAAGAATCTCCACACTTAGTTTCACAGTGGTTGTGATAGAAGAAGAAAAACTGGTCTCAGGTGGGTGACCTCAAGATGATACAGGGAACCTCCAAATGACGTAGGGGGAAATGATCTTCAGACCTGACCTGCACGAGTTTGTGTTCTCTAAAATCAAAGAATGAATTTTAAGAACAAACGGAGGTTATGAGCAGAATATATTTACTGAGGGAAAGAAAGCTCCTGTCTGAGCGAGGGACAGGAGGGGGGCCTGAGTGGGTTGTTCCCTGGGAAGCTGTCTCTTCCAGGGATTTCTATAGTGTAAAACCATGCGGGGCTAAGGTGGAGAAAGGGGGAACTTGCTTGGGTGGATGTGGGGTGGGACAAAACTATGGCCAACCAATGAGATTACAAGCACCATTACTCAGGTGAAGTTGATTAAGTCCAGGACCAAATGGGGAAGCCAGTCACCTAGCAAGGGGGAAAGAAGGTAAAGCAGGGCCTTATCTGGTAGCCATCAGATAAGGATCCTTTCTGGCTTTCTCAGGGTAATGATCAATCTGGGATGCTAATCTTTAGGTAGCTTAGCATGTGTTTAATCTCTAGCTCACAGCAGGAGCATCAGGAGGTCCCATAGTTGTGAGGCATCTGTCTTCTGTGTTGTCTCCTTGGAGGGCCTGAACCTGTCTGACCGCGTATATTTCTATCTAATTTGACGGCCTGCAACAGTTACACTAGTCCACATTACCACTAGTAGTGGAGAGGGGTTCCTTTTTCCCCACAGCCCCACCAGCATTTGTTGTTGATTATTTTCTTGAAAATAGCTGTTCTTTCTGTGGTGAGATAGAACTTCAGTGTTGCTTTAGTTTGCATCTTTTGAATGATCAGTGATGTTTGAACATTTTTTCATACATTTATTTTCCACTTGTACGACTTCCTAGAAGTGTCTATTCATGTCAGATGGTCATTTTTAGATCAGATCTTTGAATTTAGGGATGTGATTTCATTTCTTTATATGTGCTAGATATTAGTCCTTTGAGAAACAGTTGACAAAAAAATTTTACCCCTCTGTGGGTTGTATTTTCATTATGTTGGTGGTTTCTTTTGCTGTGCAAAAGCTTTTTAATGGGATGCGACCCCAGTTGTTGAGTCTGTGACATTTCCTGTGTAGTTGGGGTTTTATTCATAAAGATTTTGCCTATGCCTTGGTCTTTACAAGTTCTATCCTGACTTCCAGCAGAAATAATGTTTCTGTTTATTACTTAAGCCTTGGATCTATTTTGACTTCATTTTAGTGCATGGCAATAGGCTAGAGTCTAGTTGTAGTCTTTGTATGTGGAAAGCCAATTTTTCCAGAACCATTTATTAACTGCAGAGCTCTCTCTTCCATTAAATGTGTTTGACACCTTTCTCAGAGATAAGGTGGGTGACTGTTTGGAGTTGTTTCTGCATCTTCTGTTCTTTTCCATTGATCCTGAGGTCTACTTTTTTTTTTTTTTTTTACCAAAACCATACTGATTTTATCACGGTTGCTCTGTAGTATAAAGTCAGGCATTGCAATGCCTTTGTTAGCCAGAACTGGTTTTGCTCTTCTAGGTTTCTTCTTGTTTCAAATGAATTTCAGTAATATTTTCTCTAGTTCTGCAAGGTATGCCAGTGGTATGTTGGATGGGAATCCACTAAATGTGTATGGCAGTTTTGGGAGTAGGACTATTTCACTGTGTTGGTCCTTCCTACCCAAGAGCAAGGGATATCTTTCTCTTTTCCTTTTTTTTTTCCGGAACCGGGGATTGAACTCAGGCCCTTGTGCTTGTCAGTTATTCCACTGAGCCACCTTCCTGGTCCTCTCTTTTCTTTTCTTTTTTTCTTTTTCTTTCTTTCTTTCTTTCTTTCTTTCTTTCTTTCTTTCTTTCTTTCTTTCAATTTTTCTGATATCCTCTTCAGTCTCTTTTTTCAGAGCACTGTAGTTTTTAGTGTAGAGATCATTTACTTCATTTATTAGATTGATTCCTAAGTAAAAATGATTCCATTGTGAAAGCTATTATTTTCTACTTTCTCCTTCAGTGAGTTTGTTATTTGTGTACAGGAAGGCTATTGATCTTTGAGTTTTGAATCTGTATCCAGCTACACTACTGAATCTGGTTATTAAGTCTTTAAGACTTTTGGTGGAGTTTTTGTGGTCTTTGATGTAGAATATCATTTACAAATATTAATTTAACTTCTTTCCTATCTTTATTCCTTCTTTCTCTGTTTCATACCTAATTGCTCTAGGTAATGTTTTCAGAACTTTATTGAATAGAAGTGGTGATAGTAGACACTCATATCTTGTTTCTGATCTTACAATGAAAACTTTCAGTTTTTGACCTTTTAGTATGATATTTGCTATTAGTTTGTCATAGATGGCTTTTATCAGATTGAGATAGGGTTTTCTAACACTTCATGAATGGGTGTTGGAATTTGTTAAATGCTTTTTCTATACATATTGAAGTGATCATATGTTTTCTGTCCTGAGCTCTGTTAATATTACATTTACTATTTGCATATTTAGAACCTTTTCTACATCTCTGCAATGAATCCTGCTTGGTCATAGTTTATAATCTTGTTTTGCTGCATTCTGTTTGCCAGTGTCATACTGAAGATTTTTGCATCCCTGTTCATTGGGGAGATTGCCTGTAGTTTTTCTTTTGTTGGATCCTTCTCTAGTCTTGGTACAGGATAATACTTACTTCCTGGAATGAGTTTGGGAGTTTTGCTTCCCTTTCAAATTTATTAGAGAGTTTGAGGACTAATGGCATTCGATCTTCTCTAATTTTCTTGTAGAATTTGACTGAATCTGGAAGAATATGGGCCTTTTTTTTTTTGGTATGTTTATAATTATATTCTCAATTTCATTGACTGATATTGGTTTATTCAGAATTTCTATATTTTGATTCAGCTTTGATAGTGCATATCCATCTAGGAATCTTCCCAATTCTTCAGTTTTCCATCTTATTAGATTCCCTAAGCAGGTATTGATCATCTTCTGGTTTTCTGCAGAACCTCTTGTGATTTTACCCTTCACATTTGTAATTTCATAAATTTGAGTCTTTTCTTTCCTTTTTTTAATGAGATTGGCTAAGGGTTTATCAATTTTATTTAATCTTTCAAAGAATCAGCAGGGTTCATTGATTCTTTGTATTGTTTTTTTACTCTCAATTGCATTAATTTCCACTCTAATCTTTAAAATTTCTTCCCTCATATGAGCTTTAGACTTGAATTTTTCTAGAAGTTTTGAGTAAGTTCTTTATTTGAGTTCATTCTATTTTCCAATATGCAAATTTACTTCTATAAACTTTCCTGTGTGGACTATTTTCACTGTGTCTCATAAATCCCAGTATGTTGTACCAGCATAACCATTTAGTTGTGGATACTATTATTTAGTAATAGATACTGTTTAATTTCTTTTTTAATTTAATCTGTGACCCACTGGTTGTTCAGTAGGGTGTTATATAATTTTTGTGTGTTTATGAAGTTTTTGTGGTTTCTTTCCAATTGCACTATAGTCAGATAATATGAAGGGAATAATTTCAATTGCATTAAATTTGCTTAAGCTATTATGTGATCTGTTTTGTAGAACATGCCATGTGCAGCTAAGAAGAATGTGTATTCTGTTGTGTAAGAAGAATGTGTATTCTGTTGGTTCACTAGTCCTTTAGTTCACAGGTTTGGTTTAGTTCTGCTACTTCATTGATTTTTTTTGTCTAGTTGATCACGATAGAGGGGTGTTAGAGTCCCCATTACAATTGTGTTAGTGTTTATGTGATTTTTTTAAATCGTTTTCAAACAGTTGTCCCTCAAAGGACTTATATCCTAGAACATATAAAGAATTGAAACAAAAAAAAAAAGAATTGAAACAAATCAGACCCACCTCAAATTCAAAGTTCCAATCCAAAAATGTGATCTGAGATGAATACATACTTCTCAGATGAATAAATACAAATGGCAAAGAAATATATGAAAAAGTTAAACATCATTGCTCATTTAAGAGGTGAAAATTAAAACAACACTGAGATTGTATCTCACTCCAAAAGAATGGCTGTCATCAAGAAAATAATTGAAGGCTGGGGAAATAGCACAGCAGTCTAAGCACCTGCCTGCAAAGGGCAAGGACCAGGTTAAATCCCTAGTACCGCATGCCATGCTGGCCCCAGAAGCCAGGGTGAGCCATGCAGGCCACCAAAACCAGGTGTGGTGGTGCATGCTTGTAATCTCAGGGCAGGCTGAGACAGGAAGATCACTATGAATCTGAGCTGCGTAGCAAGACCTTGTGCCAAATAAATAAAAAATTTTCAAAAAAGAAAGCAACTGATAACAAATGCTGGCAAGAATGTGGGGGGGGGGAACCCTTCTCTACTATTGGAGTGTAGACTGGTACCACCACAGTGGAAATTTCTAAGGGTTAGAAGTCCAAGTCAACCCATCTCTTCCACTACTGAGTATTTTCCCAGAAGAATTTAAAACATGTCACAGTGACATATGCATGCCCATGTTTATAGCAACAT